GCCGTATACGGTCTGTATCCGTTCCGATGAGTGAGTTGCCAGACCAGTATACGGAACGGTTACGGTACTGATTGCGCCGTAAATGGCCGTACACTTTACGGCCGTAACCGTTTACGGTACAGTGCGGAGCCCTACTCACTCATTATTAGGACACCGTACCGTTAGCGTTAATGTACTGATTGTTAACAGGATTCTTTCCTATTTTGGAATGTTTTGCATCCTTGTATACGTGTCCTATAAAAGTATGGAAGAACAATAGAAGATGTGTTAGGGTCGAGGAGATGGGCGACCTTAAAAATGCACTCCGGTCGCCGGCGCCTATTAGGTCAGCCCTTCCCGCGCGTCGTGAAATTCACCAGCGTACCCCGATTCTACCTAGTCCACTTCTAGGATTACCGGCGGGGGCTCAAACTGAAAGAGATTCGAAAAAATAAAATAAAATACATAGAAAATGGCTTTTGCATTGTAGCAATATTATAATGCATTTTAGAACTCAGTGAATCAATAATTGGAGAAATCCCTTCCTCTGTAAAAAAAAAATGTGAAAATCCTCCTACCTATAAACATAAATAAAAACTGTTGAAAATTAATGGTCTATATAGCAGACACTGGCAGGGGCATATAGCATGAGGGAAGACAGCTTTGAGGTGGATTAAACTCTCATGCGAAGGGGATTTGGCCCGCCTCCCTTTTCCCACGCCTTCCAGTCGCATGAACTCTGACACTCCCGCATTTCTTAGATTAAAAGATTTTTCTGTGAGTTAACATCACAGGAGAAATTGAAACAAAAAAAAAACCCAAAAAAAGCAACAGATACCGAGATTTGAACCCTGGACAAGACGCAGACAACACCTAAACTCAAATGAAGATATACCACTCGACCAAAAACACCTTTCCTTTAACATTTCTTTTAACGCATATGTTTCTTTAACTCAATGTTCTGAGAAGCCGTGTATGTCTAATCCTAGTTTCCTTCCAGCCCCTATCACTCGCGTAAGAAGGGTTATATTATATATCCAAAATACTTTCGCGTCTGATCATGCGCAGTGTTTGAACTCAGCAGTCACGCCGGTGAAGTTCATGAGGCGCGGGAAGGGCTGGCCTAATAGGCGCCGGCGACCGGAGTGCGTCTTTAACGGTACCCCGAGGAGATGGTCGTGATGACCGCGGCTGTGCCGTGCAACGTGTCCAACAGACACCCACATCCATATACAGCCGCAATCCAGCTCC